TCTCCCCCGTTTTTTGTTATAGATTTGTCCTGGAACACCTCATATGAAGAGATGGAGAGTCAACTCATTCAGTCACTGTTTTTATATGGGTTTAATTATTTTAAATAATATTATTATTGTAGTAATATAATTATTTATATTTTTTTTAATAATTATTATATTTTTTTAAGTTTTTATTATAGGATTTATATAGTGCCAACAGTTTGCGCAGCGCTTTATGCAATGAAGGTAGACATTCATTACAATTTGATAAAAGAGGGGAAAAAAAAAAAAAAAAAAAAAAAAAAAAAAAAAAAAAAACAAAACACCACGGACGAAGACTTTGATTCCCCCTTCAACAAACACACAGAATTCACAGTCTTCGTCCGTTTTTTTTTTTTCCTCTTTTACCAAATTGTATTGTAATGAAGGTTTACCTTCATTGCATAAAGCGCTGCGCAAACTGTTGGCACTATATAAATCCTATAATAAAAATTATATACCGTATTTTTCGCTCCATAAGACGCACCTAGGTTTTAGAGGAGAAAAACAAGGAAAAAAAAAAATATTCTGAACCAATGGACTGCGGACGCAGTGCAGGGGATGACCAGAGACTGCGCACGCAGTGCAGGGGATGACAAGGAGACTGCGGACCTTTGGGGAGGGAGGGGGAGTGGGTACCTGAATTTGACAGGTACCCGCTCCCACGAAAATTGTCCTCCCTTTAGTGTGGGAACCTGGCTGTGACAGCTGGGTGCCCACTGCGCATGCGCAAGAAGCGCTGCGCTTTGTGAACGGCCTGGCGTCTTCTGGGAAACAACAGGTCCCAGAATACGCCGGGCCAGTCACAAAGCGCAGCGCCTCTCGCGCATGCGCAGTGGGCACCCGGCTGTCACAGCCAGGTTCCCACACTAAAAATGCTGGCGCGGGAAGACTAAGGTAAGGTCCTGCTGCAGAGAAGAGCTGAGCGGCCGGCCCGGTATTCTGACACTGTCAGCGGCGGAAATACTGGACCGGCCGCTCTATATTCGCTCCATAAGACGCACTGACATTTTCCCCCCTTTTTTGGGGGAAAAAAAAAAAGTGCGTCTTATGGAGCGAAAAATACAGTACATTTTTAATAAATTATATTACTACTACAATAATATTATTTATTTTAAATAATTAAACCCATATAAAACAGTGACTGGATGAGCTGACTCTCCATCTCATTATTATTATTGCAGAGGATTTATATAGCGCCAACAGTTTGCTCAGCACTTTACAATATATGGGAGGTGTTCCAGGACTACAAATCTATGGGCAGCACAGTGGCTAAATGGTTAGCATTTCCACCTGGCAGTACTAGGGTCAGTGGTTCGAATCCCAGCCACGGCACCACCTGCCTGGAGTTTGCACGTTCTCCCTGTGCCTGCGTGGGTTTCCTCCGGGTACTCTGGTTTCCTCCCACACTCCAAAGACATGCTGGTAGGTTAATTGGATCCTGTCTAAATTGTCCCTTGTATATGAATATGAGTTAGGGACCTTAGATTGTACACCCCTTGAGGGTTAGGGACTGATGTGAATGTACAATATATATGTAAAGTGCTGTGTAAATTGACAGTGCTGTATAAGTACCTGTAATAAATAAACAAAACGAAAAAAGAAGGGGGGGGGGGAGAACAATTGAATTCTGTGTGTTTGTTGAAGGGGGAATCAAAGTCTCCGTCATTTTTTTTTTTTTTTTTTTACCCCCCCCCCATTTAATGCTGTGTGGAATGTCATGGTCCATCTAAGCATAAAAAAACTGGGATGTTAAACACTAACTTTCATGGCCAGTTTAACACAGGAACTACGTCTTCCTGATCAAAGGAGGTCGGAGGGTCATTTGGCAGGGGCAAGGTCTACTCAAAGGCACATAGGCTGTAGTGTCGTACAAACTGGCCCAAGCTAGAATTTTCAATACTACAAGTAGCAAAGGCTGCAAGATCTGCTACACCATCAGTCTTCTATCATAAAGCAGGATTTCCATTTTCTGAACCCACACCCAAGAGAAGGCTGGTCCCCACCACGACATGCTGCACCGCATGCATTTTCATGCACTGCGTTAAGCAGCCAGTTTAAAAATGGATAGGCTGCAATGTAGCCCGTAATCTTCCACTGCTGCAGGGGTTAATACAGCTACGAAACTCATCAAGAGAGCTCAGCTATGCCTGCCCTTTCCTGCCAGATCCACCATTTATAGAAGCAGTACTGACCTCCTGCTCTCTGGCTCCATTGTCTCCTCCTCCCATGCTCATCTCCAGGACTTCTTCAGAGCTTCCCCCATCCTCTGGAACTCTCTAGCCCAATTGATCAGACTATCGCCTACTCTGCAAACCTAACCTGCCCTCAGCTAATAATGGAATTTTCTACTCTTCTAACCAGTCCATCCCCCACAGTTACTACCTTTTGTACCACCAGCCCCTCCCTCCTAGATTGTAAGCTCCAAGGATCAGAGCCCTCCTATCCCTCTTGTATTGAACTGTATTGTCTCCCGTTATATTGTAAAGCGCTGAGCAAACTGTTGGCGATATATAAATCCTGTATAATAATAATAATATATAAATTCTGTATAATAATAATAATAATAATAATATATATAAATCCTGTATAATAATAATAATAATAATAAAATATATAAATCCTGCATAATAATAATAATAATAATAATAATAATATATAATAATAATAATAATAATAATAAAAATATATAAATCCTGCATAATAATAATACTACAACTCCTATGAATGACACCGGATCTCTGAATGGAGGGGGTGGATAACTGATAGCTCCACCCCCACCCCCTGCATCCAGAGATCCATTCATTACTGCAACATGCTGGTGTGAAGGAATCCTAAGAGAAAAGTTGTGCTGAGGGAGATACTGGGGCTACTACTGTCCTCCTAGCAATACTGATCGCCTGGCTGTCTCTGGCTTCAATACATTTAAAGTCACTGACTTGGAACAAGCATGCAGATTAGGAAGTCAGATCTGCATACTTCTGTAGGTGGGACGGTTGCAAAGCCACTGGATGAGGATGACAGCCAAGCAGCTAGCAATATTTAAAGCACGGGTGTCAAACTGGTAGCCCTATAGCTGTTGCCAAACTACAAGTCCCATGAGGCATTGCAAGATTGACAGTTACAAGCATGACTCCCAAAGGTAGAGGCATGATGGGACTTGTAGTTTTGCAACAGCTGGAGGGCCCCCAGTTTGACGCCCCTGATTTAAAGGCAAAGGTCAGTAACAGAAGGCGATACTAAAAAAAAAAAAAACCTCACTGCAATGCAAGTGTGCTGCATTTTTCTGCGGTTTCTGATTATGCTTTGTGAAGTGACAGGTCCCTGGAAGGGTCAAACTAGACATTTTTTTTTTTATCCCTTTATTTAGTTACATTGCATTCCACTTACATTCATGAGTGTTGCTTTAAAATGCAGACAGGTTGCAATTTAATGCGAAACACAAGTTAAAAAAAAAAAAAAAAAAAAAAAACACTGCAGTGTGAACAAGGCACACAGAAAAACACTATTTCTATGTGCCCTTGCGGTGACCCGCGGGGATCCTGTGCAGAAAAAACAAAAAGCAGCTCACTGCATGTGGTGTGAACGAGCCCCGACTTATCTGGAGAAAGAAGAGCCGAGCAGAAATATTTCATATTGACCTGAAATGATCCCCGAAGCCCATGTGCTCTATTCATACAGCGCCAACAATTGTCACATCAGTCCCTGCCCTTAGGAGCTTACACTCTAAAGTCGCTATCTCACGCACATGCTAGGGCCAGTATGGACAGGGGCCAATACACCTACCAGCAAGTTTTTGGAGTGTGGAGGAAACCCACACAAGTACAGAGTGAATATGCAAACCCCATCCAGACAAGTGCTGAGTGGGATTTGCACTCAGGACCCCAGGGGCAAATACACCTACCAGCATGCCTTTGGATCGTGGGAGGAAACCAACACAAGAACAGGAAACTCCATGCAGATAGCATCCTGATTGAGGTTTACACTCAGGACCCCAGGGGCAAAAATCTACTAGCATGCCTTTGGATTGTAGGAGGAAACCGGAGTACCCGAAGTGCAAATCCCAGTCAGGACCCCAGGGGCAAAACCTACTAGCATGCCTTTGGATCGTGGGAAGAAACCCACACAAGTACAGGAAGAACATGCAAACTCCATGCAGATAGCATCCTGATTGGGGTTTACACTAAAGACCCCAGGGGCAAAAAAAACTACTAGCATGCCTTTGGATGTGGGAGGAAACCAGAGTACCTGGAGTGCAAATCCCAGTCAGGACCCCAGGGGCAAAAACCTACTAGCATGCCTTTGGACTGTGGGAGACAACCCACACAAGCACAGAGAGAACATGCAAACCCCATGCAGACAAATGCTGAGTGGGATTTGCACTCAGGACCCCAGGGGCAAGTAAACCTACCAGCATTCCTTTGGATCGTGGGAGGAAACACACAAGCACAGAGAACAAGCAAACTCCATGCAAGTAGTTCTCTGACGGAGATTTGAACCATGGACACCAGTGCTGTAAGGTAGAAGTGCTCTGATTGGATGCCAATGATTAGTTACACTTTATACTAAATACATTCATTGGCTTCTATACTTTAATTGAGTAAAAGAAATCCAATCAGAGGTGGTATGATGCGGATCCACATGCAGGGTGTCATCTGCGCAGTGCGGTCAGTTACACAAGGGCGAACACTGAATTTTGGCTCTGCTGCCAAGCGGACATGTGACTCCAACGCGGAAGGGCAGTGAAGGGTTAACAGGCTCCAGCCTCCGTCTCCCCTCCCCCTCCTTTTGCTTGGCCACACCCCTCCCTCCACATGTGACAGGGACAGTGTGCACATGGTAACCTCTATACAAGGTCACGCAGCGGCATTGCCTTTCACCCCAGGCATGGATCCTGCCATGGAAAGTCAGTGCACCCCATCCCCCACCTCCCTGTGTTCCCCCAAACCCCCAGCAGATACGTCCCCGCCTGCACCGACCTTGGAAGGGGGTCCCAGCCGTTGGAGGAAGAAGACGACGACGAAGAAGAAGTGTTGATCAGCGGCTGCTGCTTGATTTTCAGCTCCTGCAACTTGGTGTCAACCTGCTGCTTGGGACCTGCAAGAAGAAACACACACTGATCAGGACTGGCAGCGCCCGGCCCCCCATACACACAGATGAGGACTGGCAGCGCCCGACCCCCCATACACACAGAGATCAGGATTGGCAACGCCTGGCCCCCCCACACACAGAGAGATCAGGATTGGCAGCGCCCGGCCCCCCCACACACACAGAGAGATCAGGATTGGCAACGCCTGGCCCCCCATACACACAGAGATCAGGATTGGCAGCGCCCGGCCCCCCACCACACACAGATCAGGATTGGCAGCGCCCGGCCCCCCTACCATACACACAGAGATCAGGATTGGCAGCGCCCATCCCTCCCACATATATATATATAGATATATATATATATATATATATACACACACACACACACACATACACACACATACACACACACAGGGTCAGGATTGGCAGCGCCCCGGTCCCACACACAGGTCAGGATTGGCAGCGCCCCGGTCCCACACACAGGTCAGGATTGGCAGCGCCCCGGTCCCACACACACAGGTCAGGATTGGCAGCGCCCCGGTCCCACACACACGCACAGGTCAGGATTGGCAGCGCCCTGGTCCCACACACAGGTCAGGATTGGCAGCGCCCAGGCCCCCCCATATACACACACAGGTCAGGATTGGCAGCGCCCCCCGGTCCCACACACAGGTCAGGATTGGCAGCGCCAGGTCCCCCCCCATATACACACACACAGGTCAGGATTGGCAGCGCCCTGGTCCCACACACAGGTCAGGATTGGCAGCGCCCCAGCCCCCCCATACACACAGGTCAGGACTGGCAGCGCCCTGGCCCCCCACACAGGTCAGGACTGGCAGCGCCCAGGTCCCCCCCACACAGGTCAGGATGGCAGCGCCCCGGCCCCCCCACACAGGTCAGGACTGGCAGCGCCCTGGCCCCCCCCATACACACAGGTCAGGACTGGCAGCGCCCCGGCCCCATACATGTATGATGTGTGCACACATGATGGCTACAGTACACAGTGATGTACATCTGACGGCTGTCCCTGGCACCCCCCGGCCCTGGTAGTGTCCTTGTACAATAAAAGTCATCCCTTCCCCAATACTGGGGGCTGTCTATGGTAATACTGACCAATCAGAGGCCAGGAGAAGGCAGGCCGGGGTGGCAGCCCCCCCAGGACAGGGGTCACACAGGCTCAGCCATGGAAATTATATTATTATCCATCAGAAAACTAATACAAGAACAGGACTTCATAGAGCCGAGGACACCCATGACACCTTCCTATGTGGAGGTCCCCTGGCTGCAGAGGGCAGCACACAGACCCCCCATCTCACCTGTTCTCCTCTGGGTGGTCAGCTTGCTGGGTCCTCTGGTGATGGTGTACATGACGTGTAGGGGGAGGGGGTCGGATGAGCTGCCCCCGGGTACCTGCAGGACGATCAGCAGACACACTCTGACTTTTCACTGCTGCAGCTGCTGCTTTAAGAAGGCATGTGCCTGAGGACACGCCCCCTCCGGGGATCTTAAAGGGACCGCCGCACCGCTGGGCTCCTCTAGACGATTATGCAACAGCAGGGCGCCTGGCTGCAACACAGGAGGAGAGGTGGGCGTGTCCAGGACTACAATTCCCAGCATGCTCCGCTAGGACAGCAACAGGTGGCATGCCACTGCTTGTAGAACTACATGTCCCAGCATGCCCTGTGTAACAATAGAGGCAAATATTTAACCCACAAAAAAAAAATGGTGGCATTAATTTGGATTATCCATCAGAAGCATTGCACGTTCCGTCCAATCAGTGCCATCGATATCTGAATTTGATCATCAGATCGATTTTGTAGACTCACCATACATGATACAATCCGATTGTACAACCTTCTGAAAGCTGGCCAAACATGATGCAATCTGCATGTTCACAAGCTGGCCATACATGATACAATCTGATTGTATAACCTTAAAGCTGGCCATACATGATGCAATCTGATTGGACATTCTCCCTAAATTATAGAATTATAGATCTGGGTCTCCAAACTTTCTAAACATAACCCCGGTGTGCTGTCCTTCGGACTTTAGGGGGCGGGGGGTTTCAGACGGTGGCCAGTCGGGGTAGAAATTGTCCCGGCACAGTGGGAGTAAACCGTGCCCTATCTTTGACATTAGGGGGAGCAATAGTGTCCTTTTTTTGGTGTCAGTGGGAGGAATTATGCCCCATTGTTGGTGTCAGTGGGAGGAATTATGCCCCATTGTTGGTGTCAGTGGGAGGAATTATGCCCCATCACTGGTGCCAGTGGGAGGAATATGCCCCATCACTGGTGTCAGTGGGAGGAATTATGCCCTATCATTGTCAAGTGTCAGTGGGAGGAATTATGCCCCATCACTGGTGTCAGTGGGAGGAATTATGCCCCATCATTGGTGTCAGTGGGAGGAATTATGCCCCATCACTGGTGTCAGTGGGAGGAATTATGCCCCATCATTGATGCCAGTGGGAGGAATAGTGCCCCATCATTGGTGTCAGTGGGAGGAATAGTGCCCCATCATTGGTGTCAGTGGGAGGAATAGTGCCCCATCATTGATGTCAGGGGTAGGATTTATGCTCCATTGTCAGTGTCAGTGGGAGGAATTACGCCCCATTGCTGTGTCAGTGGGAGGAATTATGCCCCATCATTGGTGTCAGTGGGAGGAATTATGCTCCATTGTCAGTGTCAGTGGGAGGACTTAAGCCCCATTGTTGGTGTCAGTGGAAGGTATAGTGTCTCATATCAGTAAGAGGAATAGTGCCCCAAGGCAAGGAAAGGGCCACAGTTTCGAGACCACTGGTATATACAAACAGTCACTTTGTAAAACAACCCATGCAGTTTAAAATAGAAATGAAAGGCAAAAAATGTGCGTATAAATATACAAAAAACTGATAAATACCTTTTCCCCCTTTTTTATAAGTTATCACATTTCCTCTGTTCTCAGCTGCATAGAGAGCGTGCAGTGGTCTTCCCAGTGAATGGCCGTGTGTGTATTGGGGGGGGGTCAGGAAAAGTTGGATCCTGCCCTGTGCTATCCTGCCCGGTGTGGTCAGTTTTAACAGCAAAGCAACAGGCAGGCACAGCAGGGATTTCACACAAAGGAAGGAATACAAAGAGAACAGGAGACTCTTTCATACAAGTACATGGGCAGGGGCGGACTGACAACTCTCATGGGGCCCCTGGGCAATAGGGGATCATGGGGCCCCTGTGTCCTTGCTCAAACTCAAAAAAAGCCTATGAAAAAGGTACCAGGGGCATCTCATGGGGCCCCCTACTGACCCCGGGCCCTCGGGCAGTGCCCGAGTTTCCAAATGGTCAGTCCGCCCCTGTACATGGGTACAGCAAAATGTCCCCCAATAGTGCCCCCCTGGCCTCCCACACGCCCCTACTTTTATTGTGAGAATAACGTGTCCTATCGGGAAATGGAGGGTTCGGGGGAATTTTCGGGGCCCGGGGCTCTATGGGATGGAGGAGCACTGACCTCCATCTAGCCTGACGTGTTCGTGTGGAAATCAGTGACTCTCATGTTGAGTTTATCAGTGGTCAGGATAGGGGACATTTTCAAGGACAAATTCCCCAAACTCAGGGAAGTCCTGTGAAAGGCGAGTCCAAGGACACCCTGCAACCATCAGGATACAAAAAAACAGTCCTGGCTGAACAGCTGCAACTTTAGGTGCCAAAGGTCATCTGTCCCCCATGGAATTCTGGGACTTGTAGTGCTCCGACTGGCCAGAGTAGCTCACCTCTGCTCTACATACTGTAGCTGCTGCTCGTTATTCGACCTTGTACTGATCTAGTAACTAATGACTGCTGTGTGTACACCAGGCCCGACACCCGCTGCACCGCCTGCTATCTCTGTGTGTATGATGCAAGTTGGATCGGATTCAGGGCCAGTTCACACTGCATGCATTTCTGTTGCTTTTTTTCTGCATTCAAAACGCACATAAAGCAGGTTATATGGTTGTAAATGTCATAGTTTGGGCAGCACAGTGGCTAAATGGTTAGCACTTCCTCCTGGCAGTACTCGGGTCGTTAGTTCTAATCCCAACCATGGCACCACCTGCCTGGAGTTTGCATGTTCTCCCTGTGCCTGTGTGGGTTTCCTCCAGGTACTCCGGTTTCCTCCCACATTCCAAAGACATGCTGGTAGGTGAATTGGCTCCTGTCTAAATTGTCCCTAGTATGTGTTTGTATGAATGTGAGTTAGGGACCTTAGATTGTACACCCCTTGAGGGTTAGGGACTGATGTGACTGTACAATATATATGTAAAGCGCTGCGTAAAATGGATGGCGCTATATAAGTACCTGAAATAAATAAATAGTTCACATCAGTGCTTGCAGTTCCAGTGCAGAAAAAAAAAGCAGGACAGGCTGCATTTTCCCTGAACAGAACTGTACTGGAACGCGGTAAAACGCATCAAAAAGGCGCCGGAACGCACCAAAAATACACTGGAACGCACATGTGACTATTTAACCACCTCCGGTCCGGCCGCTGTATATAAATGACCGGACGGTGGCAGTGCAGGGTCGGGTGGCTGTTTATAAACGGCCTCCCCGGCCCCTGCTTGGGCGCGCTCCCCCGGGAGCGCGCAGCACTGCGATCCGGTGCCCGCTGTGTCCTCCGAACACAGTGGAACACAGATCGTCGGGCGGGACCTCTGTGTGAGGTCCCGATCATGTGATCACTGATTGGCCAATCAGTGATCACATGCAATGTAGTAAGCAAGATGTCCCTTCTGACATCATTGCTTACTATGTGTGAAATCTGTGAATCGGTGGACGCATGAACAGGCCAAATCTGACACTTTTTACATGTAAAAATCACTATTTTTTGCTAGAAAGTCATTCAGAATCTCCAGACATTCTATATTTTTTTAGGCAGAGGCCTTAGAGAAATAAAATGGTGGTCGTTGCAATTTTTTCTGTCACACAATATTTGAGCAGCTTTTTTTTTTAGGAAAAAATACCCTTGAATGAATTTTAATGCAGAAAACAATATAATACCCAATTGGTGGAAAAATAAAAGATGATACGGTGGAGGAATGGCGGCAAACCATGGTACTGACAACCTGCATAGATGACACCTTAAGGGCCGGGTCACACTATAGAAGCGCGGTCCTGATGCGTTTCCGCATGCATGGATTTTACACGTTTTGGTGCATTTTTGACATGTTCCAGTGCGTTTTTTACGCGTTCTGGTGCATTTGTGATGCATTCCAGTGTGTTTTTTGCATTCTAGTTACTTTTTCCATGTAAATAGGGACCAGGGGCGGACTGACCATTTGGAAACTCGGGCACTGCCCAAGGGCCCGGGGTCAGTAAGGGGCCCCATGAGAAGCCCCTGGTACCTTTTTCATAGGCTTTTTTGAGTTTGGGCAAGGACACAGGGGCCTCATGATCCCCTATTGCCCGGAGGCCCCATGAGTTGTCAGTCCGCCCCTGTACAGGACTATTCACAACAGCCTTGTACCATGTGACAAGCTGTGACCAATCACATCTCACACAGTAGTTCTCAATGGCTGCAAGAATGCAGCCAGAGAGAAGGAGAAATGATTGCTTTTACAGCCTTTATGGGTGTAAAAGCAATCAGTATACAAAAAAAAAATCATCACCCCCCACAAGTAGCATGGTGTCACTATGGTGATACTGTACTGCTAGGGTGACAGTATTTAAAAAAAAAAAACATAAATAATAATATAAAAAAAAAAATAAAAATGTAAAAAAAAGTTTAAAAATTATAATAACTAATTTGGGTTATTTTTTTTTTACTAAAAAGATAACTGAATACATTTTGGCCAAGATTTCTGATGAAATATTATTTATTTGAAAAATTTTATAAGAAAAACACTTTTTTTCAAAATGTTTTGGACTTTTTCATTTATATAGCTAAAAAATAAAAATCCCAGTGGTGAATAAATACCACCAAAATAAAGCTTTATCTGTCTCAATATAATGCTAAAAAATTCATATGGGCACAGTGTTGCATGACCGCGCAATTATCATTCAAAGTGTGATAGCGCTGAAAGCTGAAAATTGGCCTGGATAGGAAGGGGGTGAAAGTGTCCGGACTTGAAGTGGTTAAATGAAAGAAAAAGAGAGGGGAATAAATGAACTGGAACACATAAAAAACGCATAAAAAACACACCAGAACACGCCAAAAACACATGAAAAATGTGCATGCAAAAACGCATCCAGAACACATCTGGACTGCGTTTCTGCAGTGTGAACCGGCCCTTACACAGAAGGATTTGTAAATGAATTCACAGCTTGGGGTAGGTGACAACATGTTACAGAATGCACACTTCTGCACCGCCTGTGTCATTGCCCTCCTTATTGCCAGTTCTTGAGGCATCTAGTGAACACTGGGGCACT